AGGAGTGACTTGGCATCTGTCCCTGTCCCAGTACAGCAGGAGTGACTCCTGGCGATCTGTCCCCCTCCTCGCCCCTCCAGCACAGCAGGAGTGACTTACATCTGTCCCTGTCCTCCAGTGCACAGCAGGAGTGACTTGCCATCTTTCCTCCCTCCTCGCCCCTCCAGTACAGCAGGAGGACTTGAAGCACTCCTTCCTCCCTCCTTGTCCCCTCCTCCAGCGGCTGCTAGAGGATTTACATCTGTCCTCCCCGTCCTCCAGCGCACAGCAGGAGGGACTTACATCTGTCCTCCTGTCCTCCAGTACAGCAGGAGTGACTTACATCTGTCCTCCTCGTCCTCCAGCACAGCAGAGGAGTGCGACTTGCCATCTGTCCTCCTCCTCTGTCCTCCACAGCACAGCAGGGATGACATATGCATCTTTCTCCTCCTTGTCCCCCTCCTGGTGGGTTGCAGCAGGAGTGACTTAAGCATCTGTCCTCCCTCGTCTCCTCCAGTGCCAGCAGGAGGGACTTATGATCTGTCCCTCCCTGTCCTCCTCCAGCACAGCAGGAGTGACTTACATCTTCTCCCCTCCTTGTCCTCCAGCACAGCAGGAGTGACTACATCTGTCCTCCCCGTCCCTCCAAGCAGCACAGCAGCAGGAGTGACGGCATCTGTCCTCCTCCCTGTCCTCCAGCACAGCAGGAGTGACTTAAGCATCTTTCTCCTCCTTGTCCTCCAGTACAGCAGGAGGATCTTTAAGCATCTGTCCCCTCCCTCCCCCTTTTGGTCCTCCAGTACAGCAGGGATGACTTAAGCATCTGTCCTCCTCCTGTCCTCCAGTACAGCAGGAGTGACTTAAGCATCTGTCCTCCTCCTGTCCCCCAGGGATGACATAAGGAGCTGTCCTCCTTGTCCTTCAGTACAGGTCAGTAAGGTAACCATCACTGGTGGACACAGCCGTCAACACAGGCCTTGCACCCCGTCCTTATCATGCGTTCTACTGAAGGAAGTCTGATACCCGAGTAAGAATGTTGATGAAATATATATTCCCTAAGTTTATGTTTTCAAACACAGTGTATAAAAAATAACAAAGTGAAAAAAACTCTTCACATTAAATTAAGTTTCCATTGAAGAATTAAATGGTCTTTTTAACTTCTCAAATTCACGTTTATTAGTTGCATATGGCTACCAGTCACCAGTCAGCATCTAGGATAATTTGAAATAAACTGTCAAAGTTTCTAAACACATTAACTGATTTTATACCCCTGTTAATGGTCTTCTTGCCACCATGACACTGCCATAAGTGTAACCCATGACTGTGTCTCCACCATACACATTACTGACAACTCTCTTCTCTAACAGCTTTTTGTCAGATGATTACTTCTTCAAACACTGTGTTTCTCGCTCCTCTATTCTTTTAAATTATTCATAATTTCCCTTCATACAATATCAAGTCAGTGATCTACGTATTAGTTCTGGAATTTTTAAAGCAAATCAACATTGTATTTTGAAAATTACCAGTTTTCTATTATGATAATCTTAACACCTTTATATTTTATACAAAAGAACATAAGAAAGAAGGAAACTGCGGTAGGGCCGATACGAGGCAGCCCTGTTTACATCCAACCCCAATCACTCATATATCGGCCCAACACACACCTGAAGCTTTCCACAAGCTAGAGTTAATGAAGGAGTTTGTTGTGTGCATCTTACTGTAGAGTTTCGCAGGCACCTCATCACTGGGTACTTCACCTAGGGTGTTTCACCACTGTAGTTTCACTCCACTTCCCGGCATTCTATTTGTTGTATACTGATAAATGATGATTTAATGACTTCCATTAATTTCCATCATCCATCTAAGTTGTTGGTTATACTTTGTTAGAACCAATCAGTCATTACCTTTAGTAATTGTAAAATAGGGATCACAGATACGGGCAGATAAGTTGCACTTTCATTTATTTGACAAGGTCTCATTCACTCACATTCACGCCACAATATATGCACTGTTGTGAAGAGGGAGTTTATCATCCTGGGGACCCCCACATTTAATTATACTGTCATAGTTTGGCTTTTCAGGGCCGTGAATCCTCCACAGACACCGCCACTTCACTGCGAAAATAACCACTTAGGTTCACTAGACTAGCCTGGATTGTTCTCGTAGCAAGCAGGCTTTCACAAGTGATTTTTTTTCTTGGAATAATTTACTTAATCTCTTACACATGACAAATATCTTGGGGTTTTCACACAAACAGTCTCGTATCACTGACAGTCCTAGCTTCATCTCTGCTGGGAGTAAGGCGATGTTGCTGTAAGAGGCCTGTAGTGGACGTCTCCCCTACAACTGCGTATCCGCATTCCGATGCGCCGCCGTATCCTAGCAACCAAGCTAGCGGCGACAGCAGATGTTACCATAAGCTAGCAACGGAACTAGAGACCGGCGACTTTCTCGGGTTTTCCCAACATGACTCATAGATGACTCACGGCTGCTGGGTATATAAGCTCTGTCTCTCCATTGAGATTCATTCTAGCCTCTCTTCCTGAACAAGCACCTCCTCCTCCGCCGCTGTGGCAGCCCTCGCCTCTCCTCCACCTGCCTGGCGGTCCTCGCCCCCCAGCGAGCATGACGCCACCAGCTGTCTTCTCTGAGCTTCCTCACCAACCAGCTTTCATTCTGGTCTCTCTTCTTGAACAAGCAACACCTCCTCAGCAAGCTCCACGCTGTCAGCATTCATTCAACCAGGAGGCCAGCAACAGGCAACATCTTCTCTAGCAGCTCCTGCACATCTACCTCCTTCAACACGCTACTCACCTAACGTCTCTACTGAGCAGCTCCTCACCACGGAACCTCCAGCACCAGACTGTCTCTCATATAACTTATATTATACAAGAAAACCACCTTAGAGTTTCCATCCATCCTGAGTGCTGGACAACATTATAACACACCTACAAATGGTGACTCGGAGATTAGCACTCACACAGGATGGAGAACACTGATCACGCTCCCAGTCTTCAAGCAGCATAGAAGAATGGCGTATCCACACAGAAGCAGCTCTGTTACTTTAAACCACCAGCTCCTCTTCCTGCCCCAAGCACCACATCCTGACGACCCCAGCACACCCGTCCTGCCTCAGACGCCGACCCCAGCCCAGTAACCCCCTGCGCCCCTGACGCGGCCTCTGTTCCTGAGTGCGGACCCACACACACCCTCTTTTCTCCCTCAGGTACTCCCTGCTAATGTCCTGCACCCTGCTGCTGTCGTGGACCCAGCTGCTGTCACGAGCCCTAATTCGCTTCTGCTGACGTAGCCCCTGTTCCTGACCCAGGCCCACACACACCCCAGCAGGCGCATCTGACGACCCTGTACCTGTCGTGAGGGAAGCACAACATTCATCGCCTCCACACACCCTTTTTCTCCCTTCTCCCACAGATAGTGTGTATCTAGACAGTTGTATTTCAGTGATCGGCTCATTCACGCCATCGCCGTTGTCTCACATGAGGCATGCACCGCCCGGTCTGCCTCACATGTGCTAAGCAAATCTACAGACAACAAGTCTCCTACACTGCCTGGAGGGAAGGGGGAGTATTGTAGTGGACGTCTCCCCTACAGCTGCGTATCCGCATTCCGATGCACCCCCGTATCCTAGCAACCAAGCGAGCAGCGACAGCAGATGTTACCATAACCTAGCAACGGAACTAGAGACCGGCGACTTTCTCGGGTTTTCCCAACATGACTCATAGATGACTCACGGCTGCTGGGTATATAAGCTCTGTCTCTCCATTGAGATTCATTCTAGCCTCTCTTCCTGAACAAGCAACACCTTCTCCTCCGCCGCTGCCTGGCGGCCCTCGCCTCTCCTCCGCCTGCCTGGCGGTTCTCGCTCCCGCCAGCGAGCATGGCGACCCACCAGCTGTCCTTCTCTGAGCTTCCTCACCAACCAGCTTTCATTCTGGTCTCTCTTTTTGAACAAGCAACACCTCCTCCAGCAAGCTCCACGCTGTCAGCATTCATTCAACCAGGAGGCCAGCAACAGGCAACATCTTCTCTAACGAAGCTCCTGCACATCTACCTCCTTCAACACGCTACTCACCTAACGTCTCTACTGAGCAGCTCCTCACCACACGGCACCTCCAGCACCAGACTGTCTATCATATAACTTACATTATACAAGAAAACCACCTTAGAGTTTCCATCCATCCTGAGTGCTAGACAACATTATACCACGAATACCTACAGGCCTACGTAAGTACCCGGCTCAATTAAGTCTACGGAGCAGAAGGTCTTAACTAATCCACGGTCTGGGGACTACTGGCTTAAACGTGGTTGTGGCAGATGTGAGATGCAATGAACAACACGTGCCGGCACTGTTCTACTGGGCCCCATAGCTTGGCCCCATACCTGTGGTCTTATCTTCCCGAACCAAACATTCAGATCGGGTTGCCTGAGGCTTTAGCCTCACACAACCCATGACAGTGACACTAATCCACAACTGTGTTTCCAAACCAAGGTTTACCCATTTTATGCCTAAATCTCTCTCTCTCTCTCTCTCTCTCTCTCTCTCTCTCTCTCTCTCTCTCTCTCTCTCTCTCTCTCTCTCTCTCTCTCTAGCCGCTGTAACATATTTGTTCCTGGTTGGATAGTTTCAGCACCCTTGTTATATCATCTTTATCTAACCTTGACTTATATCTATACACTTCGACCCTCTCGCCCTTCACTCCTTTTCTCTCAATGAAATGTAAATTCATTGTTTTTAATCTTTCTCTCTACTCAAGGATTTTAATGCCCGGGATATAAAGTAGCTTAAGGATAACCTCTCTTGTCCTGTTGTTAACGCTCCTAATTCTGTAAATACACTGTAACTACAAGTTCTGTACTGTAGTTACTATAATACAGAACTTGTTAGTGTTATGTGTAAATTATTCATATGTTAAATTTTACATCGATTAATTTACAAAATGATATAATTGTGAATATTGTAAAAGGTAAATAGGCTTCTGACCTCCACTCCCGTCTCACAGTTATTTCGGATAAAGTTGATGGACATCGAGGGTAACATGACCTCGGTCATGGTCTCGCCAGAAACCACGGTGAGGGAAATTAAGGCCAGCCTCGAGATACAGTTCGGGGAAATCCCTGCTGAGACAAGAGTCATCTACAAGGGTGGCCCAGTCAAAGATGAGTCCACCATGGCCAAGTTGGGTACAAAAGAAGGTCACACGATTCAGATAACCTCAACTTGGTTCGGGGGCCATATTTCAACTAGGTGTGCTAATTAGATTCCGCATGTTTGTAAATCATAAGTTGTAAAGTAGATCAGGTGTATCAAGTCATAAAATACATAGGTGTATTGCACTTAACATGATAGTCCTATAAAGATAATTAATTTATGGTAAAATTTGATTTATTTCATTTAAGACATCGTTTACCACCATAACATAGTCATATTATCTAAATTAGCTTAGTGCATGTTGGGATACGTTAGGTTAAGTTTGTGAAGTTTTCTATGATATTAATTTCTAAGTATTTTAATGATCTATATGATCGTGTATGGCCGGTCAGAGTTTCCAAAAAAATAAAAATACATAGAAGTTATCGCTATTAGGCAATTATCTATATTTAGGCGAACACACACAAACATACTGTGACATCACGCATCACACCACACCACACGGTGCTCTCCATGACACTGCGATGCAATGATTGAATTGTTACGACGTCATGTACAGTCCTTCATGTCAACACCTATGGACGAGTTACTGCTCCACGTGGCCTACGTGAGCCTCACACAGTAGGGCAAAAGACCAGCTCCTGCCATCAACTGTAAACTATAATTTGTATATTGAATTCATATTTCTTCGCCTTTTGGTAATGAAAGCGTTTGTTAAACGACCCAAAGTATATTAATAAGTATATTTTCAGCCTTTTGACTGCTGAACTTTTTCAATAAGCTGTTAATTTTAGAATTATATACTATATACAGGGTGATTCAGCAAAGAGTACATTAAATTGGAGGATGAAATTCTTGGCTAATTCTGAGCCACAATGTCTCTACGGTAAAATTTCAAATACTGCATATACCCACGTGTTCGTGGCAGGTGAGAGCAAATTAAACATAGTCCAGTGATGATGGATGATGTTATATGTAGTGATGATGGATGTTGTTATATGTAGTGATGATGGGTGGTGCTATATGTAGTGATGATGAATGGTGTTATATGTAGTGATGATGGATGGTGTTATATGTAGTGGTGGTGGTGGTGACGGTGGTAGTGACAGTGGTAGTGGTGGTGATGGTGATAGCGGCATGTTTGTGGTGATAGTGGTGGTGGTAGACTTTGGTTAATAGTAGTGGTAATAATGGTGGTGGTAATGATGATGGTGGTAGTAGTGGTGGTAGTGATGATGGTGGTAGTAGTGATGATAGTGATGGTGATGCTATATGTAGTGATGATGGATGGTGTTATATGTAGTGATGATGGATGGTGTTATATGTAGTGATAGTGGATGGTGTTATATGTAGTGATATGGATGTTGTTATATGTAGTGATAATGGGTGGTGTTATATGTAGTGATATGGATGTTGTTATATGTAGTGATGATGGGTGGTGTTATATGTAGTGATAGTGGATGGTGTTATATGTAGTGATGATGGATGGTGTTATATGTAATGATGATGGATGATGCTATATGTAGTGATGATGGTTGGTGTTATATGAAGTGATGATTAGACAATAAAATAATAACAGTTTAATGCTAAAAAAATATACTTTGCTGTACCGTTGTAGTGAAAAACATGGTGGAACTTACATACACCGTTAATGAACTATTGATGGAAGAAGAAGTTTTAGGGACTGAACAGTGAGACAATGTGGAGCCTCCCGGAGGGTGGCGTCCTACCTTGGCCTAGCGATGAGCCGCCCAGAGGGCGGCGATTCTGCTAGTGTATATATATATATATATATATATATATATATATATATATATATATATATATATATATATATATATATATATATATATATATATATATATATTGTGTTACTTGTAAGTAGAATTAATGCATATAATGGTAATGATGGTAAGAATAATAATAATAAAATAGATAATTGTAATACATTTCATAAATTAACAAATAATTTACTCATATGATTTGCACTGCACTTTTTATATAATAAAATTCGAGTCTTACACCTTGTGTTTCTCAATGAATATTCATTATTTTACTGCTAAACTACTCAGCCTTGTCTGACCTCTTCTTTGGATGTAGTTAGCAGTCATTTCAATACTAACAACCCAACTGGAGAGATGTCAAATAATATTTTTGGTCAGCACTAACACGCTGTCAATGCATTTTAGAATAATAATAAAACTATTTCATATTTTTTGTATTGTTTACAAAACAGAATGATGAGAATTACATGCAAAGTAATAACAATTCTAAACCAGTGTTATATGTTTGTCTGTGATACAAATCAAAGGTTCAAAAGCTGTGCATTGAGCCTAAACACTCTAAGGTCCACTCCCACGGTAAGTTATATTCAGGGCACCACACTGCAAGCGATATAGGACCTCTGGGTCCCTTTATGTTATACTGTCATACTCCAAGGCATACTTCTGGGTCCCTTTATATTATATTGTCATACTCTGTCATACTCCAAGGCATACTTCTGGGTCCCTTTATATTAAACTGTCATTCACTATGTGACAGGAAGGACCTCTAATGACTTCGGACCTTATGAGCTGGTCTCTCTCAACAAACCAAAACAACCGCAGGATTGTAGCCCTATTCACGGCAGTTGAAATCAACGAATTTAGCAGGACAAGGATCACGTGACTACCCCAACTTGTCACACCTTGAGCTCTACCTCCCCGCTGGTGTTTGGAACAAAATAAGAAAAAATGGCTGGTGTAACAGTCAGTCTCTACCAGAATTTTGACATTGCCCAGAGGTCAGATGTGCAGAGCCCTTACAGGAGTTGCTTATGAACTTGTGTTGTGGACCCGAGCAGCCAACCGAGTATTAACTGAGATCTCCAAAGAGCATTAAGAATTAGTATTGTGAATCATCATTTCTAGTCTGGTATCACCCTGATTATATGTTGGGTCTTACTCCTATGTTGTGTTGTGTTGTGTTTACTGTTGAGTTTTAGCCTCAATTCTATATGTCAGGTGTTGTTCCCATGTCCCTGACTTGCTTAATGTTAGTCACATTGAAGAGTTAAGATGAAAGAAGTAACATTTATAGCCATTCCTGGTTTATTTTTATTTTAGTAATGATAAATCCTTGTTCGTTAGAAGTTAAATTCATGAGAAGTCCTTGTTTGTTGTTAAGAGTTAAGTTAATAAACAGTTCTTATAGTTTGACTCCTTACTTGATTTGCCCCCTTGTGTTAAGATCATTTTACTTCTGTTCTTCTATGATAATTAACCTAACCTAAATCAGACGCCCAACTAAACTGGTTGGTTAATCCTTTATTTCATAAGTCTAATGCTCAACGGATACCATTTTCAGAGCAAGTCTACAGAACTTGTTTGCTTTTATATGGAAAGACTTGGGGCATTAATATTATTTTATATATAATAATATGTAAATCAATCCCTAGTTGAACCGAGCTTTAAAGTAACTTAATAAATGATTCCAGGCCATAAAATCTGCGTCAAACTACAAAGGATATTTCTAGGGCGGCCCTTCATGTTATACTATCAAACTCTGTGTCATACTACAAGGCATATTTCTGAGTCCATTCCTTGGCTTTACTGTTGTACACGTCTCGACTCTTCTCATACTCCCTGGCTATTTCCGGGCGTAGGGAGCTCTTGGGGTTAGGTTCAGTCATCAGAGCACAAATGGTCAACAACACTGCAAGTTGAAAAGTTCATGGTTTTAGAATATTGTAAACAACAGTCAATGAACAAAAATTACACAGGACGAAAATCACATCTGACATTAACTGTTTTATACTAAATCTCATTATCAATTGTCACTTTAAATCTTATCAGCTCCTGTTTAGTTAGGATAGACTAGGTTAGACCGTTCAAGTGTCCCTGTTCTGAGAGCAGGGGGAGGGGGGACTATCTTACCTTTAGACAGGGAAAGAGTTGGGCTCCAGCGACCTTTCCTTAATATGTCAAGACAGATGGTTCCCTTATCGTTGATGTTGGGGTGATAAATCTTAGTGATGAAACTGATCTGTGAGAGACAGAAACAGAGATATAAAGAGACTGACAGAAATGTAGACAGAGAAAGTTATAAAACTGATGGATAGACAAAGATGGGCGGACAGTTATAGCGATGGAGAGAGAGAGAGAGAGAGAGAGAGAGAGAGAGAGAGAGAGAGTTACATCGATAGAAAGGAGATATAATGAGAGATCGTTACACAGGTGGAGGGATATATATAGTTATATAGAGTGATGGAGAGATAATAGATGGTGAGATAGGAAATTACCGAAAGAGGCAATTTATAGAAAGATCGATATACAGACAGATGGAGATAGATGGATAGACGGACGGACAGACAGACAGACATATAGACAGATATATAGATGGAGTTGGAGACAAACTTTCGGAAAATGATAGATTAAATTCTATTACACAGAATGTCAATACAAATTAATAATTCTCTTGGGTTAGATTAGGTTAGGTTAGGTTAGGTTAGGTGGTCGTTTTGAGTTCACTGAATTAGCCAATTGAGAAGGATTAACCCCTTGAGTACAATAAATTGACCCCTTGAGTTCAATAAGTTGAACCCTAGAGTACAATGAACTTGCCCAATAAGAAATTTTATCATCTTGAGTACAATGAGTTAGCCACTTGAATATATTGCCTTAATCTGTTGAGTACAATGGCATTGTATGTAGGGGTTAATTCATCATACAATCATACTTGAAGATTGATCAGAGAGGCCGAACCCAAGTCAACTGTAGTAGTTCATAGGTAAAACATGTACACTGTAAAAGAAGTATCTTCTGTCAGATTACTGAACTCATTATGTACGAAAATGTTGAAACACATTGTTTATTATTTTGTGTGTGTGTGTGTGTGTGTGTGTGTGTGTCACCAGTATAATTTACATACTGTAAAATTTAGAGTAAGTAATTAATAACTTACAACCATGGATGTATAATAATGAACATTCATTATTCAATGACCTGTAGAGGGCAGACGTTGTTCATGGTGCTTGGCGTACCATTAAACATCCCGCGGATGTTTTGTCTAGTCCGCTTGTCGCATTATGATGCAACTCTCTCTCTTAGTAGTTGGTATTTCTTTAAACACTGAGTAGATTGCTCATATGTGGTAATTAGATACCTTGCTTTACACTTGCAATGCGTCAAGTATGTTAGATAGTTAGATAAGTAATATATAGATAATGACACCGCCAGTTAAGATTCATGGGTCAAAGGGATCATTTACCAGCCGGTTGTTTATAAGCGTAATGTAAACACCGCTGACTGTAGTTCTGTTTGACATTCCACGGAGGTGACTACTTCCTCCTTCGAGAACCTTCTTGAAGTTTGACTCATAGATCGCTCTGGTGGCAAGTACAGGAATTACTCTCTACGGGCGTGGGTTAGCCAAGCCCCTTAGTAGTCTTGAGCTGCACCCCTTAGAGTAAAGATCTACACCTGAACTACCTCATTACAAGCCTGCCTAACACAAGAGCTTGCCTCAGTAGGGTGTCATACGGAGGCGAATTTTTTTTTTTTGAGTTTGAAAAATCGGCCCATGGTATTAATGATGTAGTTCTATGTGCAGAATCATGTGATATCTTCAGATTTGAAAAGTTTTCATTTTTTGCTAGGTAAATTTTAACTTGAAATCTTATGAAAATTCAGTGTTCCCACCCTTTTACCAACACCACTAAATAGCTTATTTAAAGTAAAGTAAATGTATCAGGTTAATTTATTAGGATGAAAATGATCCAGAATAGTGAAGCGAATGATCTTGATACATTTATTAAATTTAATATTCCTTTAGAAAACAAAATCATCAAATACAAAAACCGGTTTTACTACTACGACCCGGTGTTGCTGCACACCATAGAGAACATGTCTTTCTTGCTTCTGTTTCTACTCATCACCTCCCTGCTGACCACCTGAGCTCGGATGTAGCCTTCCCTCCTCTCCTGGCTGTACACGTGACTGCTGGCCTCGCTCACTTGCTGTACACAACGCTCTATACTCTGGGTGTGCGAGGGCCAGGCAGGGACATGCATGGGGTTGTCCAGGAAAGCTCTGACTTGAACATTGGTGAGGCTGCAGGTAAGAGGGCTCACTGCCAGCCTGGATGTTATCAGATCTATGAGATCAGTGAGGGTCTTGGCACCTAGATTGACTTCAGGAGTCTTCCTGACCCTGAAGGAATCGTCACCAACTGATTCGTCATGCCCAGATCCTCATAAGTCTCATATCCAAGATCTTTTTGACTGCCACTCTCTCTCCTCCTCATCCTTACTGCAGAGCATTGTCTGCAGAACTGCCTCGGGATGAGCATACCAGGAAGATCTCTCTCACAGTCTGCTCCACAATCTGAACAACCTTCCTTGGCTGACTCCTCAGGAGCTCAAGCTGGAAGAGAACATGCCTCGACCTTCGGAGAACGATGACTTGACCTTGGTGTTGAACCAATTTGGCAAGTAGACACTCACGATGAATTGGACAATAAGTCTCAGGTTGTGAAGCTGGTTCCCTTTCAGTTTATGATGAGCGACCCAAATTCTGCAGAACCTGAGAGCCGTTGTGAGCCACCTAGAATGTGAGACTGGACCTATCTGCAGGTAAGCAAGTCTATCAGGCATGACCCCAGTTTTGATGGCACTGCAAATCATGTAACCATAGTACAGGTCAAGTGTCCTTCTAACTCAGTGGCAGAGTCCAGCATCTTGCCAAGAGGAGCCAGACCATCTGTTGTTTGAAAGAGTCTTGCCATCCAGCTCCTGGATCAGATGTCTGAGTGGCAACTCGTTGGTGTGGAGGTCACAAACAATCCAGACCAGCTTCCTCCCATTCTTCCGCTCTATCCACTGTATGAACCCCCCTTGCCACCCTGTGTTCGTGTTGGTGCTGTCCCCTCCAATGGCCTGCAGGGTCTGGTCTACGTTCCTCTCTCTGAGCCAGTTCACAATGTTATCTGCCACTATCTCAGCTGGTTTCCTGATGTCATCTTTCTCTGGAGTGAAATGCCACAAATACTTCCCTCCTGGTTCACTGCAGCAGGAGTAGTGTTCCTCCTTCACCATGGCAGGGTGTAACGACCACGGTCGTACACGTCAGTTAACGCCAAAATCAAATGATTCATATTACGCTCAATAGCCCACAAAACATGTACCTCTGCTTTTATTTTGAGTCCTCCATCTGAGGAGTCCGTTTTCTCGTCACTTCAAGACGCCTCAGTCCTCCGTTATCCCATTTTCTCTGACTTACTGAAACCAACCTCTCTATATAATGTATTTGAATGTGAGAGAGAACACCCTGGTTTAGAATCAGCTTAGATATGTCGGTTTACAGTTGAAACATTCAAAATCCATTATGAGTGGTGTTGAACGCTTCAACTGTCCTTATTGTTGGTAAGACGTGTCAAGTAAGTGAGTGTTGAGTCTGCCAGGACAAACGATACCCATCGGTTTCGTTTCCTAAGAATACCCATGAGTTTCTGATCGCTACTGAAGTTAGATCATTTTGTCGCCCCGACATCAGAGAATCTGATGTTTATAGTTTAATTAGTGTCAGTTATCTATTTAAGAAAGTCATTAATTTCCTGAACTATTCTGTCAACTGGTATAATCTCCAAGATCTAACGTCTCCCTGTGAATAGTTCCTTGTTCGCGGCAGGCCTGAGCTTGCAGAATTGTTGTTATCAACGTGTATATTCCACCTTTTCCTGGCAAGCTCAACCTCTGGTTAGATTATATGAATAGACATAGGAAATTACCCTGATCCGGAACACCGGAGTTCATAATTAAATATACGGTGATCCAACATGGTAGAGAAGGTATGTTGTTGGTAAGATTGACCTTTCTGACATGAATATGGAGGCCCAAGCCGCCCAGCGGGGGCACGTATATACCTCTACACGAGGGAGAATCACGCATTCGTGACTCTTCTTCCACGTCTACAGGTATGTTCACTTGTGTTCCACGCCGCCATATTAACTCAGTTTAACTTAGTCATTTTTGCGAATATCAGTGTTCATGTTTCAACATAGTACCTTCAGTGCCAATTAAGTCAAGTAAAGTAGAGCTCTAGCTATCGTCTGAACCGGTGCCAGACGTATGTTTTGTATAGTGAAGTTAAATATTCACGCATTCGTGACTCTTCTTCCACGTCTACAGACGCTGTTGTGGGGGGCAGCAACACTCCTGAGGTTCGGGAGCCGCCGATGGGCACGATGTCTCTCGAAAGACGTCTTTAAGGTGGCGAGATTAGAATCCCAGGGCGAGATTCCTTGGCAGACGCCACGGCCCACCGCCACGAGTCAACTTTTCCCGGGCCAGGCGCTCCAAGCTAGCGAGCGAGCCTGTAAACAACTCTGGCCCACTGACTCCGTCATATGATCATGGTCTACCCACTGTTCTTGGTTATATGTATGGAGCCGTATTAATATCCATGCTTGGGGATGACTAGCAGAAATATAGTCATCCCAGGTTAAGTATTGAACCCCTGAATGAGAGGTCAAGGTACCAGGTGGTTCCTTGTGAAGTGATAAGAATTATGGTATGTTACTAATTGTGGAATTGCCCAGTGTGTTATGTATTCATCTGTAGTACCCATGAAAGAATAACCTGAGAGTATGAGGTTCTAACCACGAATTGAGAAGGTAATTTGTTCCTTGTTAAAGTAAGACCTGCGGGTCCAGGGTTATTGACAGTGTGTGAGCATTGCTAAATCTTACTTGTCACAGAAATACTACAACAGTGTCCAATAAAGTAATGAATATTTGGAGGTGTTTAATGAGGTAATAAGTTCTTGAAGTGTTTGATGACTTAATAAGTTAATTTCGGTTCTGTTTAGCCTGAGTGAATCTAAGATGCATCTTCTCCACTCACTGTATTAATAAATATTGAGTTAGTAATCTGAGTATCACCACTCTACTCCTTCTAAACATTGGTTCCCAGAAAATAATACTTACTCACGTGCCTATACATCTACCACACTACCCAAAACCCTTCCATGAGTTCTGTTATATAATGAAAAGTCTGGGTGGTGGCAGCTACCCCTTGTAAGTATAAAAAGTGTTGTACAAAGAATAACATGGTTCCCCAGACTAACCCATGTATAAGAAAGACATAAACAAAGTATACTTCAGAAAGGAAAGAACATTGAAACTGAGAATACAATCTATATGAAAGGAAATGAAAAGAAAGAACCTTGACTTGGAAAACATAAGTAAAGAAGCATAAGAGTTACTTATATAAGAATATATGAGAATATAAGGTATACAGAGGTAAAGAACATATAAGAATATAAGTAAGAACATATAAGAATAAATATATATGTACAGAATGGAAGGAGAATAAGTATATTGAACAGGGTACTCATTGGAGGAATGCTACACAGAACAAATAAGTATATGAGTAAATAGAATACTACAGAAAACAGTAGCTGGATGGTAAATTATTGAAAAGAGAAAACTCGGCCCGTTACAAGGGAACAACTTGTCAGAATCTCCAACTTTCATGAACACTTTAGTGTCATCCCTTCTCCCATCAAAGAACAAACAATTGATTCCATTTTCTCTTATCCCCTTATCAAACTCCTCTTCTAGGTTACTGACAAGTTTCTCCTGAGCTCTCCTTACTTTGTTATGATCTATCACCAGGTGAACATCATCAGGTGTTATCAAACCACCGTCAATCCAGGCAGCTGTTGCTATCTCTGCAGTTTCTCTGAGACCAGTGTGGTGTCGCATGCTGGCCAGAGCTATGCTCGGGATATCTTTCCTATTTCGAATCTTATGCCTGGAAGGTTTGGGATCATTATTTTCTGGGTTAGGGACAAAGTCACCATTCTCCTGGTCAGCACTCGGATCAGCCATGGGGAAGTCATTAAACTCTGAATCAGCTTGACTCCAATCATCGGCCTTTTTTACCTCACCCTGGGCCTTCTCAAGTCTCTTTTCCTCGGCAACTCTTCTCCTCTTCTGTCTCTCTGTGGCAGCCTCCTGTCTCTTGGACTCCGGAATATCTTGGCTAGAAATCATGAGAGCCCCTATACTGCCAGTCTTCTCTCTCTGTGCTTTGACAAATGCCAGTTCGATCACAGGAATCTTCAGTTCACGCTTGCAAATACAGGAGATGTGGGCCTCGGATTTACAGTCACGATCGCATCCAAACTCAGGACAGAGAACAATTGGGCACTTGCAAGTAATTATGTCAAATAACTGGTCCAGTTGCTTGGCAAAGCTGTCCTTAACTGCAAGTTTTCCTCTCCCAAGAGAGATATCTCTTGCCTTTTCCCAACTGGCTAGCAGTCTCTCACTAATATTCTTCTGACTTGTTATGACTGGAGGCTTGAACTGAGCGTTAGCCAGAGTGTACTGTGCCAAGACAGCTTTGGTCATATCACTGGCAATGTCTTTGTTTGTGTAAGTTCTTTGGTTCTTTTCACTGATTTGCCTGATTAAAACACCGTATCTCAAAGCATCTCTCAATGTAGGCAACTCCGACTTCAGGAGCTCTCTCCCAGACCCAAGATAGTGACTGAGATGGCTGGATTTTTGGTTCCTCGTCCTGACACAAGCAGCCATCGCAAATATTATCAACTTATAAATGCATCAGAATCTGAAACAGAAAAAAATATGTTAGTTGGGTTGTTAAAGAATGAAGTCAGAAAGCAATGTTCACTATTTAATTGTAATGCACTAATGCAGCTGTACGTTAGATTTTCGATAAATTTCACGCTAAAATTTACCTAGCAAAAGGTTGCAAAATATTGAAACTGAAATTATTTTCTGTTTATATACACTAAAATCTCCCAAAAAAGTGATGGGCCATTAGTTTTAGCTGATCTTCCCTCCTATGACAGCGCGAAATACAACGAGAACTCTCAGTAATAGATCACGGGGCCAGTCTAATTAATTGTATAGTATTTAGACTTGTATATATCACACAGTACATATACACCAGTCTTGAGTCTGATTAACCACCTTTTGTGGAAGATGTGGACGTCCAAATGGACTATAATTATCGACAGTCTCAGGCATCTTACCGATATCAACGGGACTAAATAACTACAAGCAAATTACTTTTAAGTGGGACTGTATACTGACAAGTCTCACTCCTCACAGGCCTTACACGTATCAGGCCTACAAGTGTGTGTGTGTGTGTGTGTGTGTGTGTGTGTGTGTGTGTGAAGCAACGAAATAAATTCATCGTTGCCAAGAAGACTAAAAGGTATAATGGTGTCATACAAACTGTGCCATGCCATAATGTTTACGTTTCCTTCATTACTTAAAACATGAAACTGAGAGAGGAAAAATTGAGTATAGGTATTTAGTGTGTTTGGATAACATCCATGTAATAGTAGTAATAACCTTCTGAAGAGGTTGTGAGGTTTTTACAATGTGTAAGGGTTGATCTTTCCTCAAGAAGCAGGAACCAGCTAATGAGATCTCCTTTACCTTCAGTAGTAGCACTTGAGGTCTTACCTCAGGGGGTGTAAAGGGGTAGTCTTTGGGGAACTTCACAGAGAGGTGGAAGACGCCCCTCTGATATGGTGAGTTTTTAGGGCCAATGATGGTGGCCTCACAGTGGAAGGGGTCCCTGTCCTTGATCCCGGCGGAGCAGTTAGGCGGCGGGTTCTTGACCAGCTCCTGCAGGTCCTGGAGGATGATGATGTGTCAGTGACCTAACAGGAGAAAGTGCTATCTCTGTGTCATAAGAGACACTGTCATTATTTATATAAAAGAAAACCTATAATTGTTGTGTGTCTGATTACGAAGTTTTCACGTAAATAACAGTGAGGATCGATGTGAAATTTGGCCCCAAGACTTCCCTGCCTCTCAAGAATGACACACACACTTCTTTCGAACATTTACAAATAATACTGTATCTCTCTTTCACCTCCCGACCGTCCAAATACTCGACGTCATCAGTATTAAATTATTTAGAGAAAATATATTAAGAACTAACACCTACGGAGCAGTGCTTAAAAACCTTATGTAACTTACTCCACAATAACCTAACCTAAACCTAACCTAACCTAACTTAACCTACCCTAACATAACCTAACTTGACCTAACCTAAAATAACTTAATCTATCTCCAATATAAACTAAAATATCCCAACATAACAGAACTTAACCTATCATAACATAACCTAACTTATCTCATCCCATCATAATCTAAATTAACCTACCGCAGCATAACCTAACTTAATATACCTCCAACAAACCTAACTTAACCTATGATACCTATCCCAACATAACTTAACCTATATCCCAATGTAGCCTAACTTGTCCTATTGTTATTCAAGGTGTAATGTGCATAGTGAAATATTTAGGGGGCATGTTACCCTCAAGTAGTGTAAATAAGATATTTTGTGTAATTGTGTGTGAGCAGGGCTGGTACTTGATACATTAAAAAACAAATTTGTATGTATGTAGATATTTTTGTAGCTTAATAATGTGGGAATTGATGAATATTAGTATTAGGTTTGTAGTCCTCTGGAGTATGGAGTGATGTCAGTCATTGGCTGGCCTTAGAGGTGGAAGGACGTTTGAGTTTGTCAGTGGTGGATACCTTTTCAAATCTGGTTTAGTTGAGTATTATATTCAGTGCTGTTTTATAATTATTCATGGTGTGTAGAATGCAATTAATTATTGTGTTGTAAGGTGGTTTATTGTTTATACACGGTGCCAATAGTAGTTGTTTATTCAGGATCATGTTTATTCTTTATTCTCAATTTATCTTATGGAACCTACACACTTATTATTGTAACTTTTTTGTTATTAAATTTTATTTAAATCTTTTGTAATGGATGTAATGCCAAACCTTCACTCCTGAACTGTTGGGATAAAGAGAGAGGACTGTGATTGAACCTAGGACTAAGTTGTGCTGAGTTGCCAATTTCTTTTTTGTGCCATATGTGCCCTCATTAGTATATTAATCTTCAACGTAATTCAGGATGATAAGTTATGGCTTAACACTATACCAATATAGCCTAACTTATCCTATCTAAGGCTGGGTGTGGAACATTTTTACAATCACCAACCTTATTTATTCTAAGTAACGCCATCCTCACTACCACGATGAGTAGAATCTTTTCTTGTGTTACGTTACTGTTATTTGTGATCCCTGTCAGCGTCGGCCATGTAACGAACCTGTAATAGATATGAAACAAATGAGTACGGTAAGAGTAACGTGATGCTCTTAACACAAATATCGCACTAGTAATACGAATGACGTACCAGCAATACTTGTAACGCACCAGTTGTGTATCAATAGCACAAATAATGCACTAGTAACACAAATAATACCAGTCACACAAATAATACCAGTAAGACGCACCTGGCGCTGCTCTAGCAGCAGCCACGTCAATTATTATGTTGGCCCATACCAACTCCGTCCCCTGAACCCTCCTCCCCACAGGAATATTAACAAGTTCTCGCCAGAAGTTACTATTTTGGAAAGGAATGGAACCAGTGTTGAATAGTGGTGAACAGTGCTTAAGTCAGTGAAAAACAACTCAACAGTAACAACCAAGTGAGTGAGGTCCTGTGACAACAGACCTAGTGGTCTCCCCATGATGCTACGACACCACGTAGTGAATGAGTTGCTGCAGCATCGTGTGAGATTCCTCATAACACCATCTGTGAGGGAATTACTACACCAAGTGATGCCCCTCATAACACCATCTGTGAGGGAATTACTACGCCATGTGATGCCCCTCATACACCATCTGTGATGGAATTATTACACCACATCAGGCCCCTCATACACCATCTGTGAGGGATTTACTACACCACATCAGGCCCCTCATAACACCATCTGTGAGGGAATTACTACATCATCAGGCCCCTCATACACCATCTGTGAGGGAATTACTACACCACGTCAAGCCCCTCATAACACCACCTGTGAGGGAACTACTACTCCACTTGATGCCCCTCATAACGCCATCTGTGAGGGAGTTGCTACACTACGTGTCTGCTGTTCAACACCTCAGCTCACATGTATGTACCAAGTCATTTATGTCCAATGTATATTTTCAGCCTTCGGGCTGTAGAACTTTTTCAATAGACCGTTTATTATTATTATTATTATTATTATTATTACTATTATAACACAAATGAAGCACCAGTAATAAATAATACCAGTAACACAAATAACGAACCAGTAACACAAATTACGCACCAGTAACACAAATAACGAACCAGTAACACAAATTACGCACCACTAACACAAATAACGCATCATTAATACGAGTAACGCACCAGTAACACAAATATCACATCTTAACTCTAGTAATGTACCAATAGCACAAATAATGCACCAGTAACACAAATAAGGTACCAGTAACACAAATAATGCACCAGTAACACAAATAATGCACCAGTAACACAAATAACCCAAATAACAGACCAGTAACACAAATAACAGACCAGTAACACAAATAACGCACCAGTAACACAAATAACACACCAGTAACACAAATAAAGCACCAGTACCACAAAAGCACACCAGTAACACAAATAACACACCAGTAACACAAATAATGCACCAGTAACACAAATAACGCACCGGTAACATAAATAATGCACCAGTAACACAAATAACACACCAGTAACACAAATAACACACCAGTAACACAAATAACACACCAGTAACACAAATAAATCACCGGTAACACAAATAACGAACCGGTACCATAAATAAAGCACTAGTAACAATTTATATACCAGTAACGTAAGTAACGTACCAGTAACAAAAGTAACACACCAATAACACAAATAATGCACCAATAACACAAGTAACATACCAAGAACTCAACGAATACACCAGTAACCCACAAATAATGCACCAGTAACACACAAGTAACGCACCAGTAATACAAGTAACACAACAGTAACAAACAAGTAACGCACCATTAATGCAAGTAACACCAGTAACACACAAGTAACACACCAAGAACTCAACTAATACACCGGTAACCTACAAGTAATGCACCAGTAACACAAATAACGTACCATTTATGCAAGTATCTATCCAGTAACACAAGTAACGCACCAGTAATACAAGTAACACACCGGTAACACAAGAGTAACGCACCAGTAATAAAAGAAACACCAGTAACACACCAACAACTCAACTAAAAAGCCAATAACACACAAGTAACACACCAGTAGCACACAAATAACACACCAACAACTCAACTAAAACGCCAATAACACACAAGTAACACACCAGTAACACACAAGTAACACACCAACAACTCAACTAAAACGCCAATAACACACAAGTAACACACCAGTAGCACACACGTAACACACCAACGACTCAACTAATACACCAGTAACACACAAGTAACGCACCAGTAATACAAGTAACACAACAGTAACAAACAAGTAACGCATCATTAATACAAGAAACGCACCAGTAACACAAGTAACACACCAACGACTCAACTAATACACCAGTAACACACAAGTAACACACCAACGACTCAACTAACACAAGTAACACACCAACAACTCAACTAATACACCAGTAACACACAAGTAACACACTAACAACTCAACTAATACACCAGTAACACACAAGTAACACACCAACGACTCAACTAATACACCAGTAACATATAAGTAACACATCAACGACTCAACTAACACACAAGTAACACACCAACAACTCAACTAACACAAAAGTAACACACCAACGACTCAACCAACACACAAGTAACACACCAACAACTCAACTAATACACCAGTAACACACCAACAACTCAACTAATACACCAGTAACACACCAACAACTCAACTAATACACCAGTAACACACCAACAACTCGACTAATACACCAGTAACACACCAACAACTCAACTAATACACCAGTAACACACCAGTAACACACCAACAACTCGACTAATACACCAGTAACACACCAACAACTCGACTAATACACCAGTAACACACAAGTAACACACCAACAACTCAACTAATACACCAGTAACACAAGTAACGCCAACAACTCAGCTAATACACCACTAACACACAAGTAACACCAACAACTCAATTAATACACCAGTAACACACAAGTAACACACCAACAACTCGACTACTACACCAGTAACACACAAGTAACACACCAACAACTCAACTAATACACCAGTAACAAACATGTAACACACCGGCGATTCAACTAACACACCAGTAACACACAAGTAACATACCAACAACTCAACTAATACACCAGTAACAAACAAGTAACACACCGGCGACTCAACTAACACACCAGTAACACACAAGTAACATACCAACAACTCAACTAATACACCAGTAACACACAAGTAACACACCAACAACTCAACTAATACACCAGTAACACACACGTAGCACACCAACAACTCAACTAATACACCAGTAACACACAAGTAACACACCAACAACTCAACTAATACACCAGTAACACACAAGTAACACACCAACAACTCATCTAATACACCAGTAACAAACAAGTAACACACCAACAACTCAACTAATACACCAGTAACACAAGTAACACACCAACAACTCAACTAATACACCAGTAACACACAAGTAACGCCAACAACTCAACTAATACACCAGTAACACAAGTAACGCCAACAACTCAACTAATACACCAGTAACACAAGTAACACACCAACAACCAACTAATACACCAGTAACACAAGTAACACACCAACAACTCATCTAATACACCAGTAACACACAAGTAACATACCAACAACTCAACTAATACACCAGTAACACACAAGTAACACACCAACAACTCAACTAATACACCAGTAACACACAAGTAACACGCCAACAACTCAACTAATACACCAGTAACACAAGTAACGCCAACAACTCAACTAATACACCAGTAACACAAGTAACACACCAACAACTCAACTAATACACTAGTAACAAACAAGTAACACACCGGCGACTCAACTAATACACCAGTAACACACAAGTAACACACCAACTCAACTAATACACCAGTAACACATCTACAGGACAAGTAGAGAACCAGTAATGTATCAGTTACACATTAATGACTAACCAATAACATGTCAACTACTGTAAGATAATTACAATAGCATATAAACACATGTAAATAATGCACCAGAAACACAATTATCATTCACGAGTAACACAAACGGATACGCACCTTGGTTGGCCTCGAGAGTTGCTAACACCGTGTTGTGCTGCGCTGCTCTCTTACGGGACTCTTATCAACACCATCGATAAGACAAGATTTTTTTTTATCTTTGAACGATAAATTATTCTAGGAATTACTGATGATGCGTCTGGCATGAATTATGTTTGTGTGTCTGTTGGTAACGCTACTATTCATCGTCAATATAGCGTTGACGTATGTTCAGGTATAAAAGTGAATGAAAATCCTCAGAGACTTTTGGTCAGCTTGATGGTGATGTAGGTAAGGGTGATTGTGATTATAACATTAATTTTCTCAAGGTTTTCTTAACTTGCTAGTGTTTTTTGTTTTGTTATTATGACAAATATCAGAGTTCAAAATCTATAACTCAATCATATGGGACTCACAACTCACAAGCCACATAGCCAAGTCTCCAACGAATTTATAACAATGAGCACTCCAACCACTCGACCTTAGGATTAACTACGCCAACCTAACCTAACCTAACTCTCCAGGCAGCGTTGGGGTTTTAATCATCGGATGAAATAAGGTGATCCTTACAGTTGGCCGGACATCCCTCTTGGCCCGTCCTGATCTAGCATACAGTATTTATTAAGTATATGTGTGTTTTTCTCTTGTTATTATAAAATATTAGATAAGTTTTGTTTGAGAAAGAGGTAAGTTGTTAACCAGATCGTATTTTCTGTTGGACATGGCGCTGCTGGCCTCCGTGTTCTATTATTGTTATCAACTTATTTCCTAGACACTTTGTAATAACCATCCTGAAAAGCTTTAACGTCTCCTTTTTGTTGTCAAGGATCTGCTAATAACATTGCATTCATCTATTACATTTCTAGCGGTTGAAACATAATGGTAAGTGTCTCCAGCCTCAGGTTTGTGTTTTGGTATAAAAGACGATTGACTTATAGATAAAATGAAGCCTATCAATAATGGCGAGCTTATGCAGTAATAAGCGGAGGACACGTTATTATACTTATGACAAGAACACAGTGTGGCCAGGCTTGGCTGGCTCACTCGCTGAAGTTAAGAATTGATGGGACAAGTTAGTAGGTGGTGGGATATCTCTGAGAACACCGTGCAGGAGAACGCTATTCAGTATACGTCCTGAGACTTAATTAATGACTCACTCCACCAAAACTGAGAGCGAGGAAGATGCGTCATCCAGCGACGAGGGCTGAAAATTTATGAATATGTTGGCAGATTTAGAAGAGTCAGCTTGATGCTGAATGCGGTCGTTGGAATGACCACATCTGCAACAGTGCATCACATCACATCCTCCTTCCACTATTTTAATACAAATTTTACCAAAAAGAAATAAAAATTATAATAATGAAAATTATATAAGCGTGCGATAAATAATGGTGCCAAGTAAATATCCACCAAGAATCCCAAATGAAAATGTAAAACAGTGGAGGAAGAGGTATAGATGGTATGTAAAGTGTAAGGTACTATGCATCACTTTCTACTATTCACAAAAAAACAGAATCATTCACACACACAAAAAAATAATTATAAAAATAATGGAGCCCAAAAGAATAGTCGACCACAATGTATCTTATCACAATAATGCGATAACACGATATCCCAGATGGCTAGATAGTGCAGATAAGCGTATCAGTAAAACAACTTTGGTCCACAACTCTGGGATGTATTGTTATGAGAAGACTGAACAATACGGCCTGGTACGACGGCGTCAGACAGCCCAGGGCGCACTGCATAGAACAGTGTAAGGACTCAGGATCCCACGTTAAACTGTACAATACCGCACTTCAGTACAGCACCACCACTTACCAGGAGGGCTGTTACTGCTGTATGGGGAGAGTGGTGAAGGAAGCTGCACCCGTCCACACCTACCGTACAACACAGGGTAAGTATCGCTGTGTCTTGAGTACTGTACTAGAACTCTGTTGCAAATTGAAAGCTTGACTTCATATACCTGATCGAAGTATTGTAACTATTAGGTTGTAGTGTTATACTGCACAGTCCCCCCAAAAGTATAGTTAGCCATGGGGTCGATGTGATTCGGTGTTTTCCGAACAATGTTACCCGGCCTGTTTCTGACGGGCTGGTAGTTCTACATCCGCGACCTTTGAGCATGAATGAGTATACAGTATACGTTTTCGAACAACACAGTCATACACTAATATAGCTTAATGCACTTCTTGTTATATTGACGTATCTAGTACTATATCATACAAGGACGACTCCCTCCCGCAATCCTACCCCATCTCTAGCTGTTGCTGATATGGCGAGCAGGCATACATACTAACTTATGATGATGCACTGAAGATTATATCAAAGTATTGAGTCTAGTGTTTCAAATTGTAGCGACCGAAAATCTAACGGTATCTTCTTGGGGGACTGTACATCGGTGAATTATCTCTTATCTATCCTACGAGTACTGTACTTCATTGGTAATTTTACTTTATACATACACAAAAAATATATTTTATGATAGTGAATATACTGTACAGGTAATTTTTTTTTATAGTTAACAATATTTTGTCGACTTATAATACAGTAAGTTTCAGTGTTTGTCCGCCATTATACTACAATAGTTTATGGGGTTACCTAATGATTAGACACTCCATCTTATTTCACTTGGGGAGTGTTAGTTAGGTTAAGTTTGTTTGTATTAGATAAGCATTAGGGTAGGTTACGTTTGGTTTGATGAGATTTGGTGAGCCATCAGGTGAAATAAGCTTGGGTGTTAATCTTCAGCTGACCTGAATGAGCGATAAAATACATATTATCCCTGTAGAAAATATTATATGTGCACTCACTAAAAGATGATGCTGCACGGGGTTATAACACACCGGACCAAGAAATCTGGTATCACCCATCACGGCTTGTCGCAGTGATCGTTGCTGATGGTTTCAGAGTCAAGGGTGCAGAATATTTTTTTTAGTGAGTGTACCTGTACTACATTAATTTCAAACTGCTATTATTATTATTATTATTATTATTATTATTATTATTATTATTATTATTATTATTATTATTATTATTATTATTATTATTATTATTATTATTATTATTATTATTATTATTATTATTATTAATATTATTATTATTATTATTATTATTATTATTATTATTATTACTATTATTATTATTATTATTATTATTATTATTATTACTATTATTATTATTATTACATTATTATTATTATTATTATTGATTATTATTATTATTATTATTATTATTACTATTATTATTATTATTATTATTATTATTATTATTACACTATTAGTTATTATTATTATTATTATTATTATTATTATTATTATTATTATTATTATTATTATTATTATTATTATTAATATTATTATTATTATTATTAATAGTATTATTATTATTATTATTATTGTTATTATTATTATTATTATTATTATTATTATTATTATTATTATTATTATTATTATTATTAATATTATTATTATTTTTATTATTATTATTATTATTATTATTATTATTATTATTATTATTATTATTATTATTATTAATATTATTATTATTATTAATATTATTATTATTAATATTGTTATTATTATTCTACAGGAAATATGAATTGCTGCTTCAGAGGCACAAAGGAGAAGTCAATTCATAAGGTAAGTCTTATTTGACCGTACCACGACCACCACCATCACCACAACTACCACCATCACCACAACTACCACCATCACCACAGCTACCACCTTCACCACAACTACCACCATCACCACAACTACCACATCACCACAAACCATCACACAACCACCACCATCACCACAACCACCACCCTCACCACACCACCACCTCACCACAACTACCACCATCACCACAACTGCCACCATCACCACAACCACCACCCTCACCACAACTACCACCCTCACCACAACTACCACCATCACCACAACTACCACCATCATCACAACCACCCCACACAACCATCACTATCCCAACCACCACCCTCACCACAACTACCACCATCACCACAATTACCACCATCACCACAACTACCACCATCACCACAACCACCACCATCGCCACAACCATCACTATCACCACAACCACCACCATCACCGCAACTACGACCATCACCACAACCACCACCATCGCCACAACTATCACCATCACCACAACTACAACCATCACCACAACTACCCCCCATCACCACAACCACCACCATCACCACCACACCACCATCACCACCTACCCCCATCACCACAACCACCACCATCACTGCACTACGACCATCACCACAACTGCCACCATCACCACAACCACCATCACCACCATTACCACCACACAACACCACCACCACAACTATCACCATCACCACAACCACCACCATCACCACAACCATCACTATCACCACAACCACCACCATCACCACAACTATCACCATCACCACAACTACCACCATCACCACAACTACCCCATCACCACAACCACCACCATCACCACAACTACCACCATCAACACAACTACCCCCATCACCACAACTACCACCATCACCACAACTATCACCATCACCACAACCACAACTATTAGCATCATTGCGATGATTGCTACAACTCCTATCATTACTACCACACCTACTACCATCACCAGACTTTTATACCATCACTCCCACAACTATCATCACTACCATAACTATATCACCATCACCACATCCACTACCACAACTACCATCACTACATCCACTACCATTACTAACCACAACTACAACCATCACTACCACTATAACCTTACCATAGTTTTGCGTTATATAATATGTCTTTTGTTTTGGGGTAAATAATAATAGTCACGTCCGTGTTCAATCATTTCGAGGAACGCCATTAGTAAGACTTAGCGATATCATATAAAAGACCTTTTCTAGTGGCAATACAACTGCATCTTCATTAATTATGCAACATGAATAAGAATACGCTACAAAAAAAAAATATTTCAAATTTTCAGAAAAACAGGGATGATGAGGCTGAAATAAGGGTCATACGATACTCAAGCCAAAACGAATCTGTCATCTCATCTATCACACAGATCAACCGGGTATGTTTTGCTTTGTAAGCCCCTTTCTAGGTTCATACATCTCCAACACATTTCATCTTTCCATCTCTTCCTTCCCTCTCCCCCCTTCCCCCTTCTCCCCTCTCTTTGTCCCCTCACCTGCTCCTCTTCGTAGTGTCGTTATCATCACACATCCCCTCCATCACTCCAGTTATAGTCGTGTCTTTTATTGCCTATAAATATTCTCAAATTCTTTAACGAAAATTGAAGCATTAATACCGTATGCGAGTTATATTCATTACAAAGTGGAAATACAGTATTGTAAACTTGTTGTTATTATGTGGAAGCGTTAACGACTATAATGCTTGAGTTACAGAGAAAGGATAGTAAATGACAACTTCTAATATCAATATTGGCTGTTGAAAATAATATCTGCGTAGTAAATGTCAGTCAATAACATCTGTGCACAGTACTATTTTTTTTTCGATATAATTTACTCAATAGCTGTCATAACACAGTGACAGTTGTCAACATGTCGGTACAACTCCAGATATGTAACAATTCTTACTTTTTAGGTTAAGTGCCTTTTTATTTATTCACTCACATTTTGTCTGTTAGACAAAAAGTTTGTTGATGGTTTCCTCTAAATGATAGACAATAAGAAACATACGAGATTGGTGTATGTTGCAGGAACCTCTCGGTCACTAAACCCCAGATTCATTTAGAGAATTTTACTACTATTTGTAGTGCACATAACAAATGCCGGGTGTCACTATCTGCACACGATAGTGGGCCATATTCTCAGTCGTTACAATACCCGACCAATCGGGAACAGCGTTGGGTGAGGTCTTTCAGAGACCCCACAGACCCAAAGCCAGATCCGGTGGATCGTTTTTTTTTTTTACGGGAATTAGCCCACCCAGGCACAGGTCACTGACCCACATCGGGGCCTGGGGGGATGAAAATGTAATAATAATAATAATAATAATAATAATAATACTAATAATAATAATGATAATAATAATAATAATAATAATAATAATAATAATAATAATAATAATAATAATAAGAAGAAGAAGAAGAAGAAGAAGAAGAAGAAGAAGAATAAAGAACCACAAAGAAATACAAAATGAAAAAAAAATCAAAAGTGAGGAACAATATATGTATGTTGTGTTGTCAACAGTAAGAGAAACAATTGAGACCCTGCAATTGTGTGTAAATGAGGCAGAAAGTCAGATCAGCAACCTGGGACTTGGTCACAATTTTCGTGATGCCATGTGGCAGCAAGATCTACCACAGACAACACATTATGCTTCCAATATCTTCCCAGGTACCTCCCTGTTTGGTAGCTGCCTAATACCTACTACCTGTTTGCTATTGGGATCACTGGAACATTTCATCGTCCGATGACAGTCCCGATTAATATAAAAACCTTTTTCACCCTCCAAATTTTTATATATTGAGATAGAAAATACTAAAAAAATATGGAAATTGAGTTTGTTGCTGACAGAAACTTTTTTCATATACATTCAATGATTGCCAGTTATTTACATGTGTTAAATAATCCGTGCTGATCATGAGCGTGTGCATCCGTGCGTAAACAACACCGTTTGTCAGGTGACTTATGTACGCCAACCGTTGGCCATCCAGTGAGGTCAACACCAAGTAAAATATAACCTTCAAAACAAACCTCACAACATCAGAGAATAATAATTTCTATATTTTTTTTTACGGGAATTAGCCAACCCGGGCACAGGTCAAACGACCCACAACGGAGCCTGGGGGGCGAAAAAAAGAACGGAAAGAAATTTAAAATATAGAAAAAAAGGTTATACTGTATTAATCTACACCACGAAGATGCCGGAAAACCAGCCTTTTAAAGTGAGACAGATTGTAAGAGCATGGAAACACAGAAGAAGGCAGAGCATTCCACAGTTTGGCTGTGTGAGGAAAGAAGGAGGTACTATAACGGGTTATTCTCGTGTGACCGATATCCACAGAGAAATGGTGGGCACCGCGGGCAAGACGTGTGTTACGAACCCACGGCCTTACCGGCGGTACACAGGATGCCAAATCCCCTGAACATTGCCCGTTAAAGTACCTGTAAAAGAGAGAGAGTGAAGCAACATTGCGGCGAAGAGAAAGGGGAGAGAGATTGTCGACTAAAGGAGGAGAGTTAATAAGACGAAATGCCTTTGATTCCACCCTATCTAATAGTTGGACAGAAGAAGAGCCACCCCAGATATGAGAGCAGTACTCCAAGTTAGGATGAATGAATCCCTAATATACTTGAAGCAACTGCTCAAGAGTGAAGTAGCTACGGCATCTGTGCAGCATTTCCAGCTTTCGGGAGGCAGCTTTAACAATGTTGAGGATGTGTGGCTTCCATGACATATTAGAGGAAATGGTGAGGCCTAGCATATCTATTTTAGAATTAGGCAGAATGATTGCGTCCTGAAATGTGATTGGTGGGAGATCATCTAATTTGGAAAGTGTAATTGGTATATACTAAGTTTTATTACTATTGAATTTAACCAAGTTTCTACCTCCCCATTCGAAGATGCTGCACAGATCCGCATTGATAGATGAAATGATGTCAGCTCTAGAAATAGATCTAGTTTGAGAATTAGGGGGAAGGGGAAATGTGAAGATTAGTGAAGAGTAGAATCATCAGCGTAAGAATGGATAGAATTAGTTGTAGTGTGAAGTAAATCATTGACAAAAAGAAGGAAGAGAGTAGTGAAAGAACAGAACCCTGCGGGACTCCACTATTGGAAGAGAAAGAGCGAGAGATCGATCCCTCGACAACAACTGCCATGGATCGGTTCTCAAGATAGCTAGAAATTAGAGAACAAAGTGGGGGAGAGAAACCATAAGAGGGAAGTTTAGAATGCAAAGACTTGTTCCATACCCTGTCAAATGCTTTGGAGATGTCCAGGACCACGACGAAAGTTTCCCCATAATCCCTAAGAGAGAATAACCAGAGATGGGTGCAGTAGGAGAGCAGATCACCAGTCGATCTCGCCTGGTGAAAGACATATTGGTGATCCGACAAAAGAGAATGTCGTTCAAGGTGACTGAGAAAATGAGAGTTTAAGAGAGTTTCGAAAATCTTAAAGATGGATGAAGTTAGGGCAATGGGGAGATAGTTAGAGTGATTGGAATGGTCACCCTTCTTCGGGATGGAGTGAACCGAGGCATGCCTCCAAGAAGAAGGAAAAGTATGGGTTCTGAGGCAAAGACGAAAGAAGCGAGCAAGCACAGGGGCCAGAGCTTCAGCACCACTCCCTCAGAACATGAGGGGGTATTCCGTCCGGTCCATGTGCCTTACTCACATCCAACCTGGATAACACACCAGCAACCCTACGAGTGGAGATTATAGGAAAGTGCATAGGTTCAGTAGGAGGAGCAGGAGTAGGAGGGATAGAGTTGGAATCGTCTAAGGTGGAGTTAGAGGAGAATAAGGTGCCAAAGAGGTTGGCTTTATCAGGGGGAGAGTTGGCTATAGAGTTATCAGTTCAGAAGAGAGGAGGAAAGGAGGGAGTGCAGAAGTTATTACAGATGTTTTTGGCTAAGAACCAGAAGGATTTACTAGAAGAAGAGTTATTCAGGACAGCGGTCGTTCTTTATTTAAAATTCCGCTTGGCCCTACGACGATTCCTAGAAGTATTGAAAGAGGATTGGGTAATAGGAGGAGATAGTTTCATAACTTGATATGCCCTATCTCTCCCCCTGCATGCAAAAGAACAGGAGCGATCAAACCATGATTGTAAAATGAAAGTTTTGGTAGAAGATGGGATAAATGCACTCATACCACCCTGTATATTATACAGGGTGGTATGAGTGCATTACTGGGGTTATACAGTGTATAACCCCAGTAATGCTGCCAACACGTACCGAGGCGTCCCGAGTAGAAAAGCAACATTCATCCCAAGGAAAGTCGGAGAAGAAATCTCGCAAAGATTGCCAGTTTGCCCTCCGATAGTGCCATAGTTAGCGTTTAGAGAGGGGGTTGAGGAGGTGGTCGTGCCCAGTTTGATTTAATATAAATAAGATTGTGGTCAAAAGACACCTAAGGGGGCAGATATTGAGTATGAATAGTGTGAGGGGTTAGAGGTAAAACAAAGAGAGTGCCTCAGCTCCACCTGGGTCATACCTTGCAGAGCCAATCCACTCTCTGTGATGTTCATTGAAATCCCCTAGGTAGAGGATCCCTGTGTTGGGGTGTGTGGATAGCAACGACTGATGGCAAGAAGTGAGGTGATGAGACGCCTGTACTGTACTGTACTATAACACCTACGATATGGACACCAACATAGTTCATTACCATTAATCGTAAGTGAATTAAGATATCAGGAACCTAAATATGTCGAGAAATTCTACTTATATGCCGTATGTTTATGTATAATTGACACTTTTGGGCCTTTTTGTGAGGTAAGAAAGCGTTTATCTCCTATGGTGATGTGTCCAACAGTTGGTACTAGGTAGGGAGCGCCCGGTGTCTCCGAACATTAGCATGTTTTATTGTAAGTATAATTGTATGCTGGGGGTACCCTTCAGAGCTGTATTCATAATAACTACAGTGCTAACAAATACCGCCCTAAGATTATTGCAGTAATAAAGTTGATGCTGTGTAAGTCTGCTTAAATGAAGAGTTATCATTTCATTTTCATACCAACTCTTAAAATTCCAAAACTTTCACATTATTTTGGTGTTATTCATTTATATTCTCGTTAATGATATCTTAAACATGTTATTTACTTAATCTAAACCGTTTCCTTCAGTTGATGTCAAAATCTATGTCCTTTGCACCATCTGTCAAATATAATACCCATTTCACTCACTTTACAAGTGACTGGCTATCAAGATAGTGGTAGTCAATACAGTAAACTTTTATATCAAATTATTTAAACTAGAAATAACCGCACATGTCGAGTCAGCTATCGCCTCCATATATTGATTCAAACTTTGGGCTGAACTCATATGCCATTTTAAGTCATTCACTTTATATTTTCACCAACCAACATTATATTCCTTATTGTTTCACCTCATATCCACATGCCTCAATGTGTCGCCTCATCTCACCCCAGCCAACTCTCTCTTATATCTCATATCTGGCATAGGCAGTAAAGTTCACCTTGGATTTGTTAAGTTTGATAAAAAATTATTTCATGAGCGGTCACTGTTCTCGGCCCTATGGATCATATTTGTACACTAGCAATATGTGGTGCAGCAGTCCCCCACCCCCCCACACACACAAACACACATACTAGGCACGACACTGAGTCTTGTTTTAAGGTACAGGTTGGTGCACAAGCAGTGTACACTTAGCTGTTTATTTCTCTATTTATAAAACACCAAGAAATTATTCTGGGAGATATTTAAACTGGTGGCCACGTACCTTAACCTTTCAATTTGTAACTAGCAAAGAAATCTATATGAATTTGTAATCCAAACTGGGAATAACAATGTAATAATAACTAGACACTCAGCAGCAGATTCACCCATGCTATTCATTACCTGAGAATTGATATACTGTATAAAGAAATGTATTTCAGAAACTTGTCTTCTCTTTAACTTGTACTTGTTTTTCTTTTCCTCCTGTAAATTCCTTTATCTTTTTCTTCCTTTTCCTTTTTCTTGTTCCTTTTTGTTTTTTTCTTCGTGGAAAACTATGGAAATTGAAGGTTGGAGTAACCCCATTGTGTTATACCACCACAGACTCACCCCGAGGAAGGCAACAATCTCCTGCCATCACCAAAACATGACGGAGAGGAGAAACAGTCGCTAAGTCATGGAGGGAATAATAATGCGTCCTCACCACATGACACAGAGGTCCCAGAGAAAACAGACAGTCGTAGTACTATACTAGACTGTGACACAGAGGTACCAGAGAAGACAGACAGTCGTAGTACTATACTAGACTGTGACACAGAGGTCCCAGAGAAGACAGACAGTCGTAGTACTGCACTAGACTGTGACACAGAAGTACCAGAGAAGACAGACAGTCGTAATACTACACTAGACTGTGACACAGAGGTCCCAGAGAAGACAGACAGTCGTAGTACTGCACTAGACTGTGACACAGAGGTCCCAGAGAAGACAGACAGTCGTAGTACTATACTAGACTGTGACACAGAGGTACCAGAGAAGACAGACAGTCGTAGTACTGCACTAGACTGTGACACAGAAGTACCAGAGAAGACAGACAGTCGTAATACTACACTAGACTGTGACACAGAGGTACCAGAGAAGACAGACAACCTCAGTGCTTCAAACGATGAAAGGAAGACACCAGGAAGGGAAGAGAGGTATAATGTCTGTGAGGAAAGGAATAGTTTTAATGAAGATGGAGATCTGTCACCAGGAAGGGGGAGGGACCACAATGGCTCAACAAGGTCCTGGGAGCTTCCTCAAGTACACGGAGAGAGAAGCACCAAACAAGAGGTAGTGCACACACACACACACACACACACACACACACACACACACACACACAGTTATCTATAAAAGCTCATCTCATGAGATAATATTATAAATAATATTGAAAATTATTAAATTAACAACACAATCAATTTATTATTGTTTGTTTCAGTTATCAGTGCATATGTTTGTTTATTTACTCAGTTGATAAACAAAAGATAGATAGATAGATAGATAGATAGATTAAATACCATACAAGTTCATATTGAATCACCATATAGTACAGGCAGTGCAGATGTACAAACACTAGTACACAACAATACAGTACAGTCAATTATAACCTAACAAAGTGATCAAATGTTTATAAATAGTTAGTCATTTTCTTTGTTTTAACTTATAAGCAACAATTATATCATCCATTAGTTTAGTTAATAGTGAATTGTATACATCGTTTAGTTAATAGTGAATTGTATGCATCGTTTAGCTAATAGTGAATTGTATGCATCGTTTAGTTAATAGTGAATTGTATGCATCGTTTAGTTAATAGTGAATTGTATGCATCGTTTAGTTAATAGTGAATTGTATGCATCGTTTAGTTAATAGTGAATTGTATGCATAGTTTAGTTAATAGTGAATTGTATGCATCGTTTAGTTAATAGTGAATTGTATGCATCGTTTAGTTAATAGTGAATTGTATGCATCGTTTAGTTAATAGTGAATTGTATGCATAGTTTAGTTAATAGTGAATTGTATGCATCGTTTAGTTAATAGTGAATTGTATGCATCGTTTAGTTAATAGTGAATTGTATGCATCGTTTAGTTAATAGTGAATTGTATGCATAGTTTAGTTAATAGTGAATTGTATGCATCGTTTAGTTAATAGTGAATTGTATGCATCGTTTAGTTAATAGTGAATTGTATGCATCGTTTAGTTAATAGTGAATTGTATGCATCGTTTAGTTAATAGTGAATTGTATGCATCGTTTAGTTAATAGTGAATTGTATGCATCGTTCAGTTAATAGTGAATTGTATGCATCGTTTAGTTAATAGTGAATTGTATGCATCGTTTAGTTAATAGTGAATTGTATGCATCGTTTAGTTAATAGTGAATTGTATGCATCGTTCAGTTAATAGTGAATTGTATGCATCGTTCAGTTAATAGTGAATTGTATGCATCGTTTAGTTAATAGTGAATTGTATACATCGTTTCATTGTATTTTTTCTTTATTTGTGTCTGTTTCATAATTACCGTTTATTCAGATTCTTGTTTGTTGATTTGTTGTTTAAAATATTCTTCTCTATACTGCATATCGATTCATATATCTATCTATTCTCTCTATTCCTATTTATCTATCTATTCTCTCTATTCCTATTTATCTATCTATTCTCTCTATTCCTATATATCTATCTATTCTCTCTATTTCTATTTATCTATCTATTCTCTCTATTCCTATATATCTATCTATTCTCTCTATTCCTATTTATCTATCTATTCTCTCTATTCCTATATATCTATCTATTCTCTCTCTTCCTATTTATCTATCTATTCTCTCTATTCCTATTTATCTATCTATTCTCTCTACTCCTATTTATCCATCTATTCTCTCCCATTTATATATTTATTTATATATTTCTTTACATCCATATTTTGCCATATTTATGATCCTGGTTATATCAGATTAACTATACGTGTATTTATTTTCTTACCAATTCTTTCCAATGAAAAGTCTATTTAACGGACTATATGGAGAGGAAAGTCCTTATATCGAGGGTCCGTTAGATGTGAAACCTCCATGTAATGGATTATACGGAGACAGAGGTCCGTTATATAGAGGTTTCGCAGTATTTAATTCCCCAAAAAATTCTCTCTCCACAGAAATCTTCACCTAGTCATCCCATTCGTAATAAGACCAGAATTCCTGTGTCCCCTTACCCAAAGGTCAGTAACCTAGTACAGTACAGTACAGTACAGTACAGTACAGTACAGTACAGCACAGTACAGTACAGTGCAATACAGTACAGTACAGTACAGTACAGCACAGTACAGTACAGTACAGTACAGTACAGTAGAGTGCAATACAGTACAGTACAGTACAGTACAGTACAGTACAGCACAGTACAATACAGTACAGTACAGTACGTACAGTACAGTACAGTACAGTACAGTACAGTACAGTACAGTACAGTACAGCACAGTACATTGCAGTACAGTGCAATACAGTACAGTACAGTACAGTACAGTACAGTACAGTACAGTACAGTACAGTACAGTACAGTACAGTGCAGTACAGTACAGTATCTACTCTCGTGACATGAAGTTGATTTGGACCAGATTAATATTATGTCCTTCAGTTTGTATTTGGACTGGTCGTGATTAACAGTTTTTTTTATATAGTTATATAGTTTGTAGCCACTGGAATGTCAGGAATGTTTGTTTCAGAAGAGATGATCTTCACAAAAACACTAACTATTTTTCTGGATGCTGACGGAAGGAGAGTCATCCTCAGCATTAACAAGTTTGACGATGTTGCTGCAAGTGACCTTTGCAACTCCACTGCTTCCTTTGCAAGAAAGCTGCCAACCTCCTTTTATCAGCACCTGCAGGCTCTAACCACCAGCCTCCTTATCTCCCTGGACAAACATCCAGAATGTAGACTGTAGACCTAGAGAGGTGGGGGAAGTGCTGAGATGAAATTATTGGTAATTGTATAATGGAGGTGGTCAAGGATGAAGTCAGGGCAGCAGCAGCAGGGAATCTGCAAGTATGTGCTGGCCACCAGACTGGGGAAGAAACTATCATTCAATCCATGAGAAAGATATTTGAACAGGACTGTGATGCTGTACTCCTGGTAAACGCCTCCAATGCTTTCAGTATAATCAACTGAAAGACTACGCTGCATAATATCAAGATCAAATGTCCAAGCTTTGCATAATATAATGAAAACACTTACAAGAACCCGACAGACATTTATATAACAAACTTCAAGGTTTTCAGAGTAGATACCGCCATACAATCAATGGAGGGAACGATTCAGGTCTATCTGTGCACCAACATACACTAAGTTATTAAACAACCAAGGACAAACAGGTAGCATATGCTGATGACCTCACAGGAGCAAGAACAGTTGAGTTTATCAAAATGTGGTGGGACCTGGTAACAACACGTGGTCCACAAATAGCCTACCGTCCAAATGCCAGGAAGTCCTTGCTAATTGTAAAGGCACAAAATGATTACGGCACTATAGTGATCATCAATGGTAGTGAAGTTCAAAATAACAAAGAAAGGCCAAAGACACCTCTATGCGGTAAATGAGTGGGTGAAGGAAATCCATGCTCTGTCGGAAATCACTTAAACTGAGCCACATGCGGCACATGTGCCATTTACCCAAGGAGCCAAACATCGATGGAACTACCTGATGTGCACTATCCCTGAAATAGAACCTCTTCTCTGCCCACTAACCCGACAACGCTCGCTGCTACTGAATACATGTATAAGAATTCCATCAAACTCACGACTGGCCTCACTGAGTGCATAGTAGCTGAAAATGCCTCAAGTGACGAAGACACCAAAGAACTATGCAAATGTCGACGTTCCATTATAAAGGGATGGCAACACACCCAAAGTGTAAAATTCCAACAACTGGTGCAACAACTATCAGAAATTGTGAAGAGAAAAGTAAAGGTTACACAGAAGGTGGGTGCCTCAAACTGGCTAACAACTCATGCCTGCTGAGTGTGTTTGTAAAGCATTCTACGACATCAACCATGCCATGATGTGCAAGAAGGGACCTCGCAGCAAAAATGTTGGAGATATGCCACGGTATCACTGTTGAACCAATCCTCTTCCCACTGGATGGAGAGTGTTTCCTTCATAGGACTGCCAACACTACTAGCGAAGCCTGTGTGGATCTGTGTTTGAGGATTCTGGACCGGGGGACAATAAGCCTTTTTTGTTATCAGAATGTTTGATCCCCTGGCTGCATGTCACCGTGACCTGCCCCTCGAGGCTGCACACAGGAGGAACGAGAACGAAAAGAACAGAGCGTAATCATAGGCAATCCAGAATATGGATCTAGGCAGCTTCATTCCTCTGGTGTTAAAAACATTAGGCAGGATGGGATCTACTGCAAAGTACTTCTACACCAGATTGATTGAAGTGTTATAAGAACAAAATAGCAACCCAGAAGTTATGAGTGGCCTGGTTGAGATGTTGCCTATCTTTCTCTTTGCTCAGGTATGTTTTACTGCGTCTCAGAGGAACAAGATTTTCAGTTCGTAAACCAACAAGTCACAGATATAGAATATGAGGCAACAGTCACTGAATGCTGCTTAGATCTGGGGCTTGACTAACTCAGATAGGGTAAATACTTTTGATTAGGATAGTTAGATAATGAAATGGTAGAGAAAATATGGCTATAAGGGGAGGTTGCATGTTATATGTTGAAAAAAATGTAGTAGTAGTAGTAGTACGACCAACCTATAGAGATCTTTAGTGGAATTCATGTCAAAATAGCATAGTAGCTCAAAATGTGTCAAGTGGAGTAGACACCAACGAATTTCATAAAATTTGACGTTCCCTTACTACAGAACGGCAGCGCACCAAAAGCGAAAATCTTTACTAACTGACATAACAACTGTTAGAGATCATGAAGAATAAAGTAAATGTAGCACGGGAAATGTGTACCTTAAACTGGCTAACAATACTACTGATTAGAGCAAAAGGCTTTAACTTGAAGAAACAAGAATTCACAGATGCCATTGCACTAGTGACTAGTGTATGGTTGGCCAGTGGAAGGCATGCCCGTCCAATGTGTGTGTGCAGAACATCTTAGGATTTTATGACATCAAATCATGCCCTGGTGTGCAAGATGAAAGATTTCATGTGCATGAGGCACGGTGCTTATTAAAAGGGACCTCATTGTGAATGTACTGGAGGAAATATGCTGTGATGTCACAATGGAACCGACCCTCCTCCCATTGGATTGTGAGTGCCTCCTCCACCAGACTGCCAACACAACCAACAAAACCCATGTGAATGTCAGTGCTTGAGGATTCTTGATGAGGAGACAGCGAGCCTTCTTTGGAATCAAAATATTTAATCCCCTGGTCTCATGTCACCGTGACCTGCTGAACCCTTAATTACCCTTAACAGACTAAATAAAGCCAAAGTCGCCGCAGCCAAATTAAAACGTTTTAAATTGATGCCTGAGAAGATACAAGTTCACCTGTACAAGGCGCTGGTGAGGCCTGTGTTGGAGTACCTATCTATACCACTCGTCACACTCGGGAAGACTAGACTACAACAACTACAGAGCTTCCAAAACAAGTGTTTGAGGTCAGCCAGTGGCCAAGCGCCACCCTACCAGGAGACAGTGGAAACCATCCACCTGAGAAATAAAACAGAGGCCCTCAACCTCAGGTTCCATCGCCTAGGGAAGAAGGTTTGGGACAAGCTCCTGGACGACCCTCACAGCCCAGACCACCTACGCGGGGAAGACATCAACGGAGGGAGACCCCACGCCTCGTGGCCCCGGAGTCTGCCCGCACTACAACAACCCAACCCGCGATCCATCTATGTCCGCCACAGTGATCCACCTTAGATTAAAACTTAGATGATATAAATTCACATTTAACAAATCACAATCAAGTGAGTCCATAACGTAATACAGTATAAGATGTTAATAAACTTGTAATTGTAAAATCAATCTAGTCATTGTCTACTAAAATAACCATTGTGCAACCTCATTCTAATTCCTAGGTTAGTTTAGTTAGTCAACAAACTCTGTAATATGTAAAACAAGGGGTGTCGTCCCCCTCTGTTTAACTCATTAAACTTCTTTTCCAACCTTTCCCCCCACGACTATATGTTGTGACTTCTCCATCCCTCATGTCTGGCTGTGCCTTGAGCCCCAGCATGCCTTCCATCCTTTCCCCACCTTAACCTAAAAAAAAAAAAAAAAAAAAAAATTACCCTTAGAGAGAGTATTCAGTGTTCTTATTTGTTACTTGTATTTTCATGTTACACTTGCTTCGTGACTGGAAATATATGCTTGTCCGTCTGAATTGTACATCGCTTTTTCCATTGACCAATACATAAAGACAAATAGAAGTGATGATAGATGATATAGTGTTATGTTCGGGCGTTATGGTCAGTTTTAATGGTTCTAAAAATCTTTAAGGAGCTGGTTTCTCACTTTTCTCCTTTTATCTGTACTCTGGACATAACAACAGTAGTAGTA